GTGAGTGAGTAGCAGCTCTGAACTTCCATCAGGGACCCCATTATACAACCTTCCTTAGCAGTCTGCCCTCTTTCCACAGACTTCTACAAACTTCCACAAAACTTTTTACAATGACCATTTCTTCTTCTTTCTGGATTACAGCGGTTGGGACCTTCCACTTACTTAGCTGTTGTAACATTTCAGGCCTATATTGTAAATTGTCATCTTTTGCCCTAGACTAGTGGTTCCCAACCCAGGTGTTCTTGGACTACAAGTCCCAGAAACTCTAGCCAGCACAGCTAGCAGTGAAGGCTTCTGGGAGTGGCAGATGACTGCAACTAGACTTGTGACCCTGATATCGCTAGAACTGTTTTGAGGAGGCATCTCATTCATTCCAGTGTTTGTTATGAGAAGAGGGTCTCTGGGTTTTGCCAAAATCTTTCCACAGCTATCATCAAGTATTTTTCTAATAAGAAATGAAGAGGAAGTGGAGATGGGTCGGATGATTCCTGCTTTATGTAAAGCTCCCACTGGCTGCTGTTGAAGCATCTCCTTGGGCTTACTCTGACTATGCCTGCCATTAGCTTTGGTTTTCCCAACTGAGTTTCCATTCTGGGGTTGAATCATCCCTTAAGAAGTCTGTGAAAAAAACTTCAACTACAAGATCCCTTCCTTCTTGGTATGAATTAAGTAGACATACATATTTTCAGATTTTATTTGTGCCAAAAGATGTTTTGTTTGTGCCAAAAGAATCATACTCAGAGGGTGATGATTAATGGCTCCTTCTCTAACTGGGAGGAGGTAACAAGTGGGGTACCCCAGGGCTCAATCCTGAGCCCAGTGCTCTTCAATATTTTTATTAATGACTTGGATGAGGGAGTGCAGATGATTCAGAATTGGGTGGAATAGCTAATACCCTGGAAGACAGAAACAAAATTCAAAATGACCCCGATAGGATGGAGCACTGGGCCGAACGCAACAGAATGAAATTCAACAGGGATAAGTGGAAAGTACTGCACTTTGGAAAAATGCACAGTTACAAGATGGGGGATACCTGGCTCAGCAAACCTACCAGCAAGAAGGATCTTGGAATTGTCATAGATCACAAGCGAAATATGAGCCAACAGTGTGATGTGGCTATAAAAAAGGCTAATGATATTTTAGGCTGCATTAATAGAAGTATAGTTTCCAAATCCCGCAAGGTGCTAGTCCCCCTCTATTCAGCACTGGTTAGGCCTCACCTTGAGTATATTGTATGCATCACATTTCAAGACGAATGCTAACTAATTGGAACACGTTCAGAGGACGGCGACAAGGATGATCAGGGGGCTGGAAACCAAGCCTTATGAGGAAAGGCTGAAAGAATTGGGCACATTTAGCCTTTGGAAAAGAAGACTGGGGGGTGATATCATAGCACTTTTCAAATATTTAAAAGGCTGTCATACAGAAGAGGGACAGGATCTGTTCTGGATCGTCCCAGAATGCAGGACACGCAACAATGGGCTCAAGCTAAAGGAAGCCAGATTGTGGTTGAATATCAAGAAAAACATCCTGTTAGAGCAGTACGACAGTGGAACCAATTATCTCCATAGTTGGTGAGTGCTCCAACCCTGGAGGCATTCAAGCAAAACTTGGATAACCACCTGGCAGATATGCTTTGATTGTATTGCTGCATTGAGCAGGGGGTTGGACTTGATGACCTTGTCAGCCCCTTCCAACTTCACTTTTTTATGATTCTGTGACTGTAGATATGAGAGCCTTTTCCTCTGGCTGCAAGCTAAGCAATTTATCCATGGACTGTGAGGCTTCTGTCAGCAGTCTTTTTAAAATTTCACCACACAGTAATGTGTTGTAATCAATGTTACAAAAATATATTTTGTGTGATGATGTGCTATGATGCAAGCAATGCTTACAAACAATAATCCCTGAAAACATTGTTGTTTTATCTGTAATAATTGGATCGATGTAATTGGAAAATGGATCTTCCCAAACTTCAAAAAAAATTATCATGTGTCATCAAGTCCATTCTGACTTACACCAACCTTTTCTGGGTTGTCTAGATGGAGAATACTGAGGAATTGTTGTTATGGGTTTTTCGGGTTCTTTGGCCGTGCTCTGAAGGTTGTTCTTCCTGACGTTTCACCAGTCTCTGTGGCCGGCATCTTCAGAGGACTGGAGTAGGAACTCTGTCCATGCTCTGTTCCTATTCCAGTCCTCTGAAGATGCCGGTCACAGAGACTGGCGAAACGTCAGGAAGAACAACCTTCAGAACATGGCCAAAGAACCCGAAAAACCCACAACAATCATCAGATCCTGGCCGTGAAAGCTTTCAAGAATACAATACCCAGGAGTGGTGTACGATTCCTTTTTCCTAGTGGTGCCCTGGGACGGTGCAGCTTGGCCAAGGTGAGGAACTGAACTCCCAACATCTGGCCCTGCAGCCAGATACCTAACTCACTGAGCTATCCAGCCAGCTTAAACTTCTAAATAGGGAGCATCGTTTCCATGTGTATGGAAGTCACTACAGAGATGAAGTTTGGGCTGAGTACTGAAGTGGATGCAAAAAAAAAAAAAAAAAAAAAGGAGAAGAAGAGAAACATAGCACTAGCTGATGATGGATCTAATTGTTTTCTAACTCCAGCAGAGCTGGGTACACTTGCTAGTGTCAAATAAAAATTCTCAATTTTTAGGGTGCCACAAAACACTCTGCCTTAGCATACATTCTGTGTGGCATGGACAGCCTGCCCCAGGAACATTATTCCCTTGTCGTTCCTCAAATATTACATTACGTTGGGGCACAATACACTTTGTTTAAAGGGTGTCAGCAAGAATTTTTGGAGTGCCATGGGAAAAAGTTGTCAACTGGGAAGAGAACCAAAGTATGTGGGTGGTGATGGAAAAGCCCGGACTGAGAGAGGGTTCCTACCAATGAGGGGCATCCCATGTCACGTGAGCACCCCTAGAGAACCCTCTTTACCAATGTTGGTTTCCTTTTTCCTCAGAGAAAAAGAGGAACTACAGAAGTCAGTAGCTCTAACGTTTTGCAAATCCCGCCCCGAAACCAAGCAGCAAATATCATTGAGGTGGGAGGGTTTTGCCCCAGAAACTAGATTATTTCAACTCCTTGAATTAAGCGTTGGATTGCAATTTGGGAGATTTCGGATTTTCTGAAAATGAAACTCGTTCATTTTAAAAAGGCCAGCAAGATGGACTGCAGGAATACAGGTTGTCTTTTTGGGCAGGCGGACAGACATCCCACTAATCAGAGAGCCTCAAGATGCATCTGTGTGGTAAGAAGGAAAATTTGTTACCTGTAGTTTTCTAGGTTGGTGTTTATGGGGCATCATGGTTTGCATTGAATGTTTGAATGGCACTTAGCATAGCCACCAACACATAGCCTGTGCTAAAATCAGGCAGCAGAGAAGCAGAGCCTCTGAAGTGGCAGATGTAATGATGCTGTTAAAGGACAGGCTTTGTTGCATGGCAAACAATTGTGTAAACAAGTATAAGCTGAGCACATTTCGGTCTGGTTGCTGCCTGGATCATTTATATACTTAGCTAATTTTGGAGTTTGGGCAGAACAGCCTTACAGAGGGCCCTCATAGGATGGTAACGGTGTGTTCATGTATTTCACAATGTGGTTAGCAGCTCTGCTACTTCTGGGCAGCCGCCTTCCTATTCATTCTGCAAAGGAGCCCCTCCAGGATTGTGTCCCAAGTCCTACCATGGTGATACTCCTGTTTTGCATGCCAGAGACCTCTAAGGACTCTCTTCTCTTTCATGAGAAAATGAGTAGGATATATTTTTAAACAAAACTAATGAACATTTATTTCATTATACTTTACTACTACGAGGGGGGCAGAGACTGGAAGGCTATTTTTAAAAATGTAATTCATTCCTGTAATTTATTGCAATGTTTAATGATGGATTCCTTGCCGCTAATCATAACATTGTTCTAATAGATGGCATGTTACATCGCTCATTCCATTACTCATCATATTGGGAATGTAATTTTTTTTGCATTGCCGAGAAACGTATCTTCTCAAAAACAAGTACTTTTCTTGTAACTGTACATTTCTGGTAATTACCTCCAGGCTCTGGGAAAGAGATCTTTAGCTTTTATGCCTCAAGTGCCAAAATTTTCTGGTCCATCTCTGGATATAATTATTGACTGACCCCATCCGATAGCCCTCCTTTGCTCCAAGGAGCTCAAGACAAAGTTCTATTTTAACCCAAGGACATTGGGGTCTGGAAGGACAGGCTGACAGAACATCTCCAGCCCAAAGCCAATGGCTGAGCTTCATGTCTGAAGAGGGATTTCAAGCTAGCGGCCCTCCCTCCCACCCACCACCCAAATGAACCAAATACAATTTGACCTCTTCTCACAGGCTTTCAGGACAACCATCTCATCAGTCTTGTGGTTTAGCTTCTTACCTGTTTTCACAACACTCTTCAGCTCGGCTTGTGCAACCTTGGCCTATTAATACTCCAAATATGTTTTCCCTTAGTAGTAAACCTAAACTCCAGAGCTGCTGAGAATATTTCAGTGCAGTGTTAGCTCAGCAAAATTTCCCTCAGATGTGTTTCCCCATTGCGGGTGCTGAGATTATCCTGTGACAGGCCTTGCGTGCTCAACTGGTGTAACTTGTGCCACGGCTATGCCGGAGCAGCAGGAATCGCATGAGCCCAATACACCTATCTTCCATCATGGTAGCACATTGGCTGATTCTTGATATTGGGTTTAATGATTTTTATGAAGTTTCCCCCCTTCAGATGGTAATGTTTTTACTTCAGTCTAAGGTAAATGAGCTGAGCTATGTTTGGGGACCCTCCTTTTCTTTCTGCTGAGGAGGCTCTGGACATCTCCCTCAAACTCATCCTCATAGGTCGCCACCACTATCCATCAGTAGAGTCATCTACATTCCAACTTGGTCTTAGCTCACAATAATTGTTCAACCAAATGCCTAGCATCCAGTTTTCCCCCTTTCTCCTAAGACAACACTTTGGGTCTCTCTCCAGGCGCGACATTCCTTCTCCAGACTCTTCTCAGCTGCTACATGCTTGCTGCTGCTGTTCCGGCCAGGCCCCGAGGGGATAAGGCATCCACAGTTGATTGGCAGGCCAATCTGCAGAAAGAATTCAGAAGAAGCGTAAACTTCTCGCGACAACTACTCTGCAAAATAAGGGTCCTTAAACATCATTATGTAAGTCTGATCTTTGTTTCTCCTATACTTTACACACAGCACAACAATCTTTGGCATGGGAATGGATTGATTTTTTTGTGGAAAAAATGTTTTAAGCCAGTCACAGCCTTCATTATTCCATCAGTTCTCCTGGGGTTTTTGTGTGTGTGCGTGTGTGTGTTTTGGCCAATTAGTCAGTTCTTCAAGCAACTAAAGTAGTACAACAATACCTCTGTATTGATACATATTGGAAGCACTTGCCGCTTAAAAGGTCTGAATTTAGAAAATTCTGTACTCCCTTTTGGGAGGATGAAAGAGGAATCAGCCTGTAACCTATTCCACTGTTGGAATATTTCACTGTTGGCCTTATTTAAGAAAGTTTTAACAATGGCTTTTCATTGAAAACAAACATGCTGTTGTGCTTTACTATAAAAACACAAAGTCAAATTAAAAGCTAAAGATATTAAGATAATACTTAAGAAAGTTTTAACAATGGCTTTTCATTAAAAACAAACATGCTGATGTGCTTTACTATAAAAACACATACTGTACAGTCAAAGTAAAAGCTAAAGATATTAAGATAATATAGAAAAATTAAGACAACAGAATCCATGTGAAGCAGTTCCCAAAGGGTAGCTATCAACATTAAATAATCACAAAAAGAATCACAAATAACCTGGTCCCAAGCAAAACTTTGACTAGGCTGGAACAACTGGGACTTTGCCCTCAAGCACCAAAAGGTAGAAGGAAATGAAATCTAGAGGTACGTCTACTGAGTAGTCCTAGGAAAAGAAACCACAACACCTCGCAACCTCAATCACTATCCTTTACTCAAAAGCATTACAAATTTTCTTTCTTTTTGGGGGGAACACCACATTCGATTTCTAATTTTTCAGGGTAAGCTTGTCTCCAGGCCTCAAGATGGAATGGGTGTCCCCTTGATGACAAAACAACTAGTTATAGGTCTAGTCCCAAGCCGTGTAGGGCCTTACAGAGTGCAAAAGGTCAACGAACTCTACCCAGCCACAAGGACCGGTGATCACTACACACAAAAGACCAGCTAATGACACCCATCAATCACAGTGACAGATAATCTCTCTTCCTTATCACAACAATACACCCACAACAAGACACACTAATTGCCCATCTAGAGAAAAAGACAAAAGCCCATCTCACAGCCATAAATACTCCACTCCCAAGCCAACTACACCAGAGCACAGAGTGCTGTCCTCTGAAGATGCCGGCCACAGAGACTGGTGAAACATTAGGAAGAACAACCTTCAGAAGACAGCCAGAGAGCCCAAAAAACCCACAACAACCATAACACCGTGAACGTGGTTCAGTGTCTAATTGGTGAACAATTTAAAGAGGAATAGGGTACAAAATTAGACACATTATGGCTTATGGTGAGCTTTTGTGGTTGCAGTGGCTGATAATTTCATGTTGGAGTTGCATTTTTATTATAAATTGTTTCTTGGTTAGAGCAGAGATGAGTAAAGTCTTGCCACATGTGGCCTGCCTGACCCACTGCCTCCCCACCTGTGGCAATGGATGATTTTTTAAAAACTCTACTGACTTCAGGGAAGCACTTTCAGGTCCATTGCTGCCAGGAAGTACTAACCTTTCTGTTCCTCATGCATGCACGCCATTCCTTCCTCATATGGTTCACTCTATGATACAGCTTTACACAAAGCTTCCATCAGTGCCAATAATAACAGATCACTGTGTGGTGTGATGATTTTAACTTTTTTGAGTGGGAATGTTTGTACTTACCCCCACCTCCTGGTGTGTTTCATCAACATATATTTCTTAACAGTTATTGCAGTTAGTGGGAAAATGGGTGACTTTACTAGTCAAAATCATATTCCTTTCTTTTCTTCCAGCTCTCCGACCGTCTCCCGGGAGCTTCACTCACTTTCGTAACTCACAAAGGGCTGTTTTCCTTAACGAGCTTGGATCTTCATACAGGGCTTTCTCTTTCGGTAAGAAAATTTCTTTTCAATGAGTATTCCTGACAGAACTTTTATCATGCTATCAACCCCCCACAAACACACACACCATTGCTTGTCTTAATTTCCTTAATGGCCATGATCTGGTCGTTGTCCTGTTGTCCGTTTATTGTAACCACGCCTCATATTCCATTCTTCTAAAATGGGATCTTCTGAGTAGGTTTCCTTCTCAATCCTACAATAGTTCCTTCAGGACCCAACAATCCTCCTGGCTGTGTTGGAGTTCATGCAGTGGATTTTCGTACATACCGCATTTAGTGGGTGGAGCCAGTGCTGAGAGGCAGAGCCAGGGACAAACATTTGGTAGTCCTACACATACATATGTACCCTAGGAAGTAGCATCCATTTGCCCTTATGGTCCAGCCATCTCTGAATCCATGGCTGAAGTTGGAACCCAGTACATTTAGACAGCATCAGTTTGAAGAACAGGGATAGGCCCATTCACATGGGCCAGGATCCTATTGGGGATTTATGGCAGGGAAAGTGCAATTGCGTTAAACGGGGTAGTGAATTGCTGTTAATTAATCTTAACACCCACATTCCTGATTGTGTGCCAGTTGTGTTACTTGGCATGGAGGAAGACATCCAAGTGGCAACTGGTAATTAGTGACAATTTGCCACTGAAATTTATGTGGTCACATTTAAATCGGTGTAGGATTCTGCCCAATGCATATCAGACTGTGGTCTCCAGTTTAAAGGACGTTACAGGTTTTGACACTGAACATTTCAAAAATCTAGTTAATTTTACCACTCCATTGAGAGATGCAATATCTGGAGAAGTGGCTGCACTTAAAAATTAAGAAGCAAGAGAATCAACTCTTTCAACTTAAATAAAGCACCTCCTATCACCATTTAATTCATAGATAAAATGCAGTTGTGGTCCTAGAAAATTAAGAAGCAAGAGAATCAACTCTTTCGACTTAAATAAAGCTCCTCCTATCACCATTTAATTCATAGGTGGGATTTTTATAAATTTGGCTAAGAGGAATGATGCTGTTGCTACAGAGTAGGCCTATTGAATCAATGGAATTTTATGTAAGTGTTGACTTAGCATGTTCCATTCATTCAACACATCTGATTGCTGTTGCTGTGAAAACATTAATCTGTGCACAGGCTCACATTTCAAGAGCTCAGAGAAAGCTGAGGCTAGATTAAATTTTTAAGTGGAGTCCCCCACACCCTTATATTTTTGAATAAATTTTGAGCCAAACTGTGTATTCATTTTGGAAATCCATGATTGATCTGCAGAATATTTTTGCAACTAAATGCAGCTGCAGGATAGGGGAATACTAATTTGATCAGAAAAGGAACTAGTAACGAAGAAGTCATTAATTCATACCAGTTTGAAGCGGAGGGGAGGACATGAGAAAAATACTTCTCGAAACCCATCCCCATGGCACTTGCTTGCTCAAATTAGTAGTCCTCCCTTGTGGCTATGTTATATTTGATTTTTAAATTGGGATGTCAGGCATGGATCTCCCAGATTAAGATGTTGTGTGGTCCACATAATTAACATGGAAGAAATAATTTTTTCTTCTAGCATTCTGTAGGTACCCATGTAGTCATTCCCATGACTCAAAAAGGGAGAAAATGAAGGGGGAAAAGGCAGTGTTTCTGGGTGTTACGTGTGGTTTCTAACTCTTTTGCCATTTCCCCAGGATGCCAAGCGCTTGACCCACCTGGCCAAGATGCTGTCATTCTATCAGGACTTGATACAACAGCTAAAGGACTATGAAGCAGACAGAGAAGATTCTACATTTGTCCCTCAGCTCGAAGATCTTGGTTTTAACCTCCGAGATCTGAGTCATCATGTGAGTTATCAGGTGGGTCTGCTTGCACTTTGGGGCATGGATGGGGCATAGGTTTATTTTTCCTTTCTCAGAGTGTAACTAATGTCTAATTCCCCTCAACAGATTTCACTTTGGGGCCTGCCATCTGAAAATAACCCTGAACCAACTCCCGAACCACCTCAGATTCTTCAGAGTAAGGATCAGTGGAGGAACCGCCAGGAAGGATACATTGTCTTGCGCCATCTTGAGAGCTTCCTATGTCGTGCCACGCAGGATTTCTGGATTCTTAAAGATAAAATAAGGATGTAAATCCTTGCACTTTTTTTCATTCCCATGCAAGAGAAGGAGAAAACAACAACGTTTTGACTTCATGCCCAAGAGAGAATGAAATGTACTTTCTGCCAATCTTGATTTCAGTTTTTGCTTTTGCAAGAACAAGGTTTTTTTACATGAAGAATGCAAATTGCATGAAATCATAACTGTAGCTGCTTTGTTCCATTGACTTTTAAGAATTAAGATCACTGGGTGGATCGTTTGCTTCTTTTTAAACAATGGCCCAGCCCTTCTGTGCCTGCTGTGTGTGCTTTGCTTCTTAAAAGCAAAGAGTACTACTTTTGCCCAGAGTTTTACGTCTTCCTCTCATCCTAGGGGTGAGGAATCTTGAAAAGTTTGAACATTTTGTTTCAAAGCTCCTAAATCAATGTGAACAAAGCATTTAGCAAATCTTCTTAACATCCCTAGATTAGACTGATCTTTTTAGATCCAAGGGTTCTTAAATCCAACTTGTTCCCATTCTAACCCTCTCCTGCACCACCAACACCCATTCCAACCTGGTAGGGAATGTTAGCATTCTGGCATCCAGATTGTAGATCCCTTCTCATAATTTATGGACTTTTTTTATTTATGAAGATTAATGTTGCTTATCTGAAATGTCTAATTTATATATATTTATTTTTTTCTACAGAAGTATTATTTTAACTTATTTTGTCAATAAAAATGGATTAGAAAACCATTGCTTCTGTGGCTGCATTCATAGAAGCCATTGTTTCTGTTTGACACATGATCTTTATTTATGTAAACAGGGAAGTAAAAGGAAAGAACGAAAGAAAAAGCAAAATTCAGAATGTTTGGGAAGTAACCAACTTTCTGTAAACCTGAGTCATGTCTTCATGTGTTAATCAGGCTTAATGATATAGAAAGCATGATGCTAACAGGGGCTGTAAGAACACCATAATCAGAATAGCTGGTTACAGAGTTTGGAGTTTTTCCAGAAAAGGTCACAACTCTGTGGAAAAGATCCCACATTCGATTTTTGTCATCTCAGTGTAGTGATGGGAGAATTTATTTTGAGTTTGGTTTTGATACTAATGCACCCTGATTTGGAAAAATTCCTCATATGCTTCATAGAAAGCACTTTAGATTTTAAAAGTACTGTAAATATGATACAGTCACCCATTTGGTCCTGAACTTTGAGGGCTTAGCACAAAGTCTGTTTTGAACCCCTCTGTATTCTAGCTAGATCAATGCTGAATTAGGATCGCTACCTCTTTTTTGTAAAAGGCTCCTCATCTCTTCTCCCACCACACTGTTAATCAAAACAACAGAAAAAAGGGGCAATAATAAACTAGGCAATATAGAGTGTGCAATGCCTATGAGAGAGTCTGAACTGAATCATGGGGCCTGTTTAAATGGGGATCCATTGATACAGCCTATTGGAATGTCTTTTGAAAACCTCAGGTTTTCCAATGAATGTGTGGGTCAGAATGGTTAAAAGAGGTTAAGGGGAACCATGTTTAACAGAAAGTGTCACTTTCTCTGCTGTTCATTGTTCTGCACATCTGAAACTTTAACTTCTCTAGTACAATGAAAGAGGGATTTAAAAGAGTAAAACTTTTAAAGGTTTACAGTGTACACTAGAAGTTGGTGGAGTCTAATGTCTTGGAAGGTTTCCAATTTTTTTTATAAGAACAGATCCTCTTTATACAGGTCACCAGCCTTGCCTGTAGGGCTTCAGTGTGGCCACAAATGAACAGTGACTCTGTGATACTCACCGTCCTTTTCTGGTTGTACAGTGTAGTGGAAGATCAGTAGTAAAGGGCAAGGATTTGGCACAAAACCTGGTCAGGCATCATCTTCTGTTGTGGCACTCTGATTACAGAATGCCCTACCCTTGGGGGCAGGACAGATGCTGATGTTGGCCTCATTTTGGCTAACTTCCAAAACTGGCCTTTTTACCAAAACCTGGGGTGTGGCAAACATAGCCTGACCAGATTTTAGATTTCTATTGAAAATATACAGTGTATGACATTTAAAATTGCTTTAAACTATTTTAAATCACCTAGAGTTTTTTCTTGTGTTCTGCCCTGAGACCCTTGGACATAAGGTTGTAAATATTTCAGGAAATAAACTTTTGTGCCTTTGGTGAACTTAGAGGGAAGAACTCCTGACGACCCTCCAATAACATGGATTGACAATGACTGCTTTTATTTTATCCATTTATTGAGAATATTTCAATGCTGATTTTCAGCTGAAGCTTTCAAGAAAAAGCAAGAACAGATTATATTAAAATAACAATTTTTAAACTCGCAATAAATTTAACATCACAGGCTGCATGGCAAGAGTATCTGAAAGCCAAACTAAAAGTAGCAAATGTCAACAAGAAAATTGACATAACAGAAATAAAATGTTATCACAAAGTGGGCACTGACCCAGTGCCCCTAAGGAGATCATTCCCCAGTTAGGATGTCACACCATAAAGTTATTCTGCTTTGCCACCACCTACAAGACATCTGGATGTTAACTAAAGAACCTCTGATACAGACTGGAAGGAATTTAGCAAGAAGGCCAGTTATTTGTAATTTATGAATATTTCTTATTTATGAAGATCAGTATTGCTTATCTGAAATATCTCATTTATACATACAGTACTTATTTGTTCAACTGAAAGGCACAGTGTTCAACTGACACTTGACAACAGAAGTTGCCGAAGGCTCACTTGAGGTCAATATGGCATTTGGATATGTGGATTGGGCCAAATGGCACATCACTCCTCCCCTCAAGTCAAGCACTCCTATTTAGACCACACCAGCCCACACCAAAAGGGCTTGTGCAGTCGCACAGTAAAGTTGCTAGCTGGCCAGAAAACCTCCAGAGGCAGCATTCATGCCATAAAAATAAACATGACTGCCCACTGGTGTCTGGATGTGACATGGTTGGTATAAGAGCTTGACAACAGAAGTTGCCGAAGGCTCACTTGAGGTCAATATGGCATTTGGATATGTGGATTGGGCCAAATGGCACATCACTCCTCCCCTCCAGTCAAGCACTCCTATTTAGACCACACTAGCCCACACCAAAAGGGCTTGTGCGGTCGCACAGTAAAGTTGCTAGCTAGCCAGAAAACCTATAGAGGCAGCATTCATGCCATAAAAATGAACATGACTGCTCACTGGTGTCTGGATGTGACATGGTTAGTATAAGAACACTGCTATGGTGGCCACCTAAGAAACTGACATCACTAAGTCAGATATGTAATATGCATACTGTATACATTGCTACCAATCCCATTTGTTTAGCAGAGAGTTCTGGTCACACAAGCCTAGTCCAAAAACAGTGGAGTGGAAAATCTGGGGCGGGTGTGTGTGTGATATAATAGAGACTATATAGTAAGCATGAAACATTTGCCTCTTAAAAAAATAAATGTTTAGGCAAGAAGTGGGACATCCACATAAGTAGATAAGCATGTTTAACCTATTGATTATCACATGGAACCCTTTGTTAAAGAGCAGGAATTCACCAAGCTGTGAAGAAAGGAGGCAAGTTGAAAATGAGGGCAGGAAGGCTTAAATTGCCCTCTCTAGGTCATACATTCTGCTTAGGAAATACAGTCCATATCTTGCTGTTATTAATGAGCACATGAGCTTGGAAAAGTTAACACTGGCCATTGTAGCTGGGGAACTGTAATTAATAATAATTTTAAAAATGACTACCAAGCTCTATCATGTACTTTTTGCTCTGTTCGATTATCACATGGAACCCTTTGTTAAAGAGCAGGAATTCACCAAGCTGTGAAGAAAGGAGGCAAGTTGAAAATGAGGGCAGGAAGGCTTAAATTGCCCTCTCTAGGTCATACATTCTGCTTAGGAAATACAGTCCATATCTTGCTGTTATTAATGAGCACATGAGCTTGGAAAAGTTAACACTGGCCATTGTAGCTAAGGAACTGTAATTAATAACAATAATTTTAAAAATGACTACCAGGCTCTATCATGTGCTTTTTGCTCAATCGACTTATAAACTTGGATTTGCAAATGTTACAACAGAATAAAATACTATCACTAGGAACCGTTTGGCCAGGGGATGAATGAAATGAAAAATGGGGCAGAGGGAAATGAGGAAAAGATCTGTGCTTGGAAATCCAAGGGGGGAAAAAGCTCCTTTGGTTTGGACATTATTTAGCAAGTTACCGTGGAAATTTCAGGATTTCCTAGTTGAGAGAGGCATGCTGGAAACAATGTGTTCAAACAAGCAAAGAGACCAAACTGTCTCAGACACCCTGCAAGTGTTCATTATGCGTGTGATTTTCCCTCTTTGTTTCTTCAACACTTTTGCTATCTTTTTTCTCACTCATGCAGGCCGATTAAGAAAAAGACACAATACTTTCACTATACCTGTTAACTTGCAAGTATAAAGAACCCTCCATCAGCCATAGAACCGATTTGCAGGTTGTTTCTTTGGGGGTGGAGAGGTTGCCTTAAAACACAACTGGAATACCAGCATATCCAAAGCATTACTAAGATTTTTCAGGGCTCTCATCCCTTTAATTAGTAGCTTCCTTTCTTGTAAAGTAAACCATGCCTTCCTCTTCACTTACTTCATTTCTGGATTCCTGCATTCTAACCTTCTTGCGGGAGCCTTCGGTCTCTTAAAATTGCTTTGCAGATAGTGTAACTGCTCATTGCCTTTTAAAAAACTGACCAAAAATTTGCAATTGTGGTGACTTAGACACGGAACGCTGTTACCTTCCCACCGAGGTGGTCCCTATTTATCTACTTGCATTTGCATGCTTTTGAACCGCTAGGTTGGCGGGAGCTGGGACAAGCGACGGGCGCTCATTCCGTCGTGTGGATTCGAACTTAAAAAACTGACCAGAAATTTGCAAGTGTGATAATTAAAATAAATGTACAATTGTTTTTTAGATGTAGCTAAAAGGAGGAAAGCAGTAATTAAAGCGTTGTGGGGTCCCAGCATAAAGAAAGGTAATTGATGTAACTAAGGGACAAATCAAGAATGCCACAAAAAGCAACTTATCAGATATATTAAAAGAGAAAGACAAGAAAGGCTCAAATAATAAAAGGAATAGAGGAAGACCTTTGCCGAATAAGAATTCTTTTTGAGAAAACATACAGCAGAAACTTGCCCATGAGGCAAACATTACTGGATTTTCACAGGTAAGAGAGTGATATTAAGCTCTGGAATGAATGTTTTAATTACACTTCCAGATGTATATAGAAAAGCAATGCCTTAGCATTGCTACAGAACTCTCCTGTCAAAATCACCTTTGATATCAATGTCATGGTAGTACACTTTGTACTAGAATCTCTTCCATCCCATCTGTGGAAAATTTTATGTGCTTCTCTTGGCTCCCACAATCTTTGTCAAGGCAGTCTGACTCAAGATAGAGAGAGTTTGCATGTTCTTTACCCCAGAAACACCTCTGAATTTGTGGTTACTGGGGTTTGCGCAGGCGTATCTGCAGTTCTGCCATCATGTTGGGGTGCATAGGTCCAAACCTGAAGTGGCAGAAAGAATGTGCAGAGTGAGACAAAAAGCAGGTCATGGATCCCAATTTCTACCTGTTTCCCCCTCAGTTCCTAGCAGGCAGTTGGACAGAACATTCATATTTACCCAGAATGCCTCAGGATTGGCCTGCTTGTTGCTTGTGCTGGAGGTGGAGGTGGAGTGTCCTCAACGCTTTGCATCTCCTGAGGTGAGCTCTCAGTGGGCGATCTCACTTTTTTCATGCTAGGTGCCCGTCGGATGGAGCTCTTACGACGCAGCAGCACCCGTTCCTTCTGAGCACTTGTATCCAGGGGTGCGACCTACAAAACAGAAGTGGGTTGGATGAGGGCAGCATCTTGACTCCCACCATGTTGCCCTGCTTTCCTTCTTTGTTATGCTTACCTTGGTTGGGAAAACTCTAGTCTCTGCCAGGTGGTCTTTTTCAAGGGAAGGGCTGTATGTCACAGGTTCAGGTTGTGGACTCCTCTCAGCCTTTTCTGGGTCTCTTGTAATTTCACCCAGCGCTTCTTCATCAAGGCCATGAGCTTCTGCCAGCCTATCCAACTCTTCCCTTTGTTCAGTCTCCAGAATGGCATCTCCTGTTTGCTTCTCCTCTTCTTCTCCTTTAATGTCTACCCTATTTCTCTCAGATTCCTCTATTTCCTCCCCTTGGTGTCCTTCTAGTTTTTCTGCCCCTTCCAATTCTCCCTGGTCATCTTCTCTGAGGTCTGCTACTTCTTTTGGCTTCCTGTCCTGATCTTCCAATGACTCCATTTCCTCTACCTCTTGCTGGTGGTTCCTTCCAACTTCCTCTCCTTCTACCACCTCATTTTGTTCTCTTTCAGCCTTTGCCCCAGAAAACATCACTTGCTGGACTGTCTCCTTCACTGCCACCCCTTCTTTGTCTTCTGCCTCAGCTTCTTGTTCCTCTCTCTTTTCAGCCTCCAACTGTGGGTTCTCTGTTATCTTGGTTGGCTCCTCCAGCTCTCCACTCTGAAATCCTTCAGACCTTGTTGCCCCCTCTAGCCTGCTCTGCTGTTCCTCTAGAAACTGCCACTGGTACGGCGCCTCTTGCTGAACCTCCATATTTGATGACAATCCCTCCTGCTCCTGCCCCACTTCGCTCCCTTCTGGCTCTTCTGCTTTTCCTTCAAGCTCCCACTGATGGCATTTTGCAATCTCATGTTCCCCTTCCATGTCCTCCTGCCACCCCACCTCAGTCTCTGCCTCACTCCACCCTGCTTGCTGAAGTCCTTCTTTCTCTACAATCACATCTGGCTCCTCCTGGTAGATCTTTTCAGCCTCGGCTTCTTCTTTCTCTGCTTCCTCCAGCTCCAACTGCTTGCTCTCCACCATTCTGTCCCAGCCCTCCATCACTCCATGCTGAAGTCCTCCATTCCATGCTGCCCCCTCTAGCCTTCTCTGCTCTTCCTCAAGAAGCTGTGAGCCACCCTGAACCCCTCCGTCCCACGTGGCTTCCTCTGGCCCTTTCTCCCGACAGACTGTGGTTCCTCCTGCATCTTTGACATCCCACTGATGGTCCCTCCCAACCACTTTTTCTTCTTCTAACTCCACCTCCTCCTCCATCTCTGCTCCACATAGCCTTGTTTGCTGAAATCCTTCTTTCTCTGCTGCAATATTGGGCTGTCCCTGCCAGCCTTCATCTGCCTCCACGATTTCCCCTTGCTTCTCTTCAGCCTCGAACTGCAGGCTCTCCACTGCCTTGGCTGCCTGCTCTAGTTCTTTATTCTGCAGCCCCTCTGTCCATGCTGCCTTCTGTAGACTTCCATGCAGTTCTTCTGTAAACTGTGCCCGAACTGCTGCCTCTTCCTGAACCCCTTCCTTCCACGAAGTGCCCTCCAGCTGTCTCTTCCATCTGCTGGTCTCTCCTACTTCTTCTAATTCCCTGCCGGTCTTCCGCTGATGGCTCCTTTGCCATGGCTTGCCTTCACCCTCCAACGCCTCTGGAATCTCTGCTCTGCCTGGCATTGCTTGCTCACTTCCTTCTTTCATTGCCAACATATCTAATTCCTCCTGCTGGCCCTTTGTAGCCTCTACTAGTTCTTTTTCTTCCATCTTTGACTCTAATTCTTGGCTCCCCACCATTTCGTCTGCTACTTCCAGCACCTCATGCTGAACGCCCTCCAGCCATACTGCCTTCTCTGCCCCTCCATGACATTGCTCTACAAATGGGACCCAATCTACTGCTCCCTCCTGACCCCCCTTGTTGCACACTGCTTTCTCTACTTCTCTTTCCTCCACTTTGCTAGCCTCTCCTATTTCTGGTTTTTCTTTTGCCTCCCACTGATGACTTCTCCCTGTCTCCTTTTCCTCTTCTAGTGCCTCCTCCTGGTCTCCCAGAGTCCCTACATTATCCAGCATGGCCTGCTGAATGTCTTCTTTCACTACCACCATGTCAGGCTGCTCTTTAATGATTTCTTCTTCCTGGTATTTCTCAGATTTCAAGTGCTGATCTTCCATCATTTTGCCTACCTCCTCATGATGAAATCTTCCAGGCTGTTCTGTCTTCCCTCGCTCTCTCTCCTGTTCCCCTAAAAACTGTGCCAAGTTTGAGGTCTCTTTCCAAACCTCCTCATTCCACAAATTTTCCTTCAGCTCTCTTTCCTGACCCACATTGGTCCCTCCTTCCTCACTCAGTTCTCCATGATGTTTGCCTCCAGCCAATGGTCCAGCTAGTTCCCACTTTGTATCTGCCACCTCTGCTTGTACTTCTTTCTCAGGTGCATCTGCCCAGATAGTTCTTCCTGCATCCCATGGATGGATCCCCTGAGTCAGGGCTGACCCCTTCAGGTCTGTCTCTTTGACGTTGCCAGTCACTGTTGTTGTGACCATTTCTTCTTGGGCATCAGCTGGGATCCGGCATGTCTCTGTGGAGGAGAAACAGGAGGGGAAAAATGGAATAGATCTTGGCACCACCTTGAATAGACCCAATCTTGTCTGTTCTTATAATTCCCCACATCTCAGACCCAGGCTGTAATTATTACATTCAGAAATGCCTGTAGGGAATTCACAGCAACTACTGTTGCTACACATGACACAAGCTCTACTGTGGTTTAAAAATGGTGCCAATGCACATCATTGTAAACTGCATCAAGGCTTCCATCATTGGCTGGCCAGTGCTGGAAAGCCTTCCAGCTACTGACAGAACCAGGGTCACATCAGCTAGACCTTGCTAACTCAACATGCAACAGAAATTGAGTTGCTGGAGCTGTCCTTCAGGCAAGGACAGTGTTGCTGCCTGGTCACTTGCCAGCTGGTGACAATATTGGAGATGGTGGGGACGGAGCTCCACTTTCAGTGCATGTCAGGCAGGCAAACTGCTCCCCTGACCCCATGTGCTCTGAGTCGTGGTGGGAAGCCTCCCAGCACAGGCCGGCCAATGGGCTAGTGGCTGGTCCTCATCCTGCTTTTCAGATAACCTGCATTAAAAAGGGGTACCAGGGATACTGGGAATCTCCAGGCAAGGCAAGGAAGAAATCTAGACTCAAACCCTGAAGGGCTACTGCCAGTCAGAGTTGACAATATTAGACTAGATGGACGAATGGTTTGATTCAGAATAATACTGCTTTAATGTTCCCATGTTTTCCACATTTTAGCATCCTATAGAATTTACTCACATGCTTCCCTACAGATTTTCTGTGCTCCTCCTCATGAAACAACCCACCTATTTATTGGTAAATATTTGACACTGTCATTCCTTTGAAAGTTCAAGATCTCTAAAAAATTCAAATTAACTATGTAAAACTCAGATAAAATGCAAGTATAAAAAAGGGGAGTACAAAAAAAGCTGCCATAACACAGTAGCAGGCAAACAGAAGGACTATTTAAAGTTCTAACATCATTATAGATTTTTTTCCCCAAAAAGCTACAAGAAGACATTAGCACACATTTACAAGTAGGCACAAGCAGATAAATCCAGAGGTATAAATATATGTGTCTCATGCTTACCCACGAACCTTTAGTCACAATTACAATGGGCCAAACATCATCTAGTCCCAACTTCAAAACCTTCTCAAGTGGCAGAAACTACCGCAGAAATATAGGGAGAAACTAAGATGGAGGTGACTTTTTTTATATGCAGAGTGCCTGACATTCACAACTGCATAATCACAGTCACTTGCAACACATTTCAGGACAGAGATAGAGTAAGTATGGGGGACCTCTGGTCCATGGCTGAAAACCACTCCACCAGCCTTCTCAATCCAGCATACAGTGTCTTCTTCTCCTCTGCAAAACCCCTGATCCCTTGCAGAAAGGAGAAGACCCAGGACAGCTGTTCTCACCTGAGCTGCCACCTCAAGGAGCATTCTTGGGATAATGGTTAGTTGGTGTCACTCCCTCATAGCATTTGCCCATGGCAAAGGAACTGGAGTTGGTGGGAAGCAAATCCCAACTGAAACGTCCATTAAAAACAACTAAGTAGCAACCAGATCCCCTTAATCATCACCATCCCCCACAGTGTTTTGTAAGTACATTCTATAACCTTCCATCACCTGAGGGCTTCTCCTTTGACTCTTCCCATCCCTCATATCTGGAGGACAATTTGGCAAGTTCAAGAATGGACTCGGTAGATTGAGTTCCATGGACAGCTGCTTCTGGTGTTACTTGGATCTCCAAGTCAGGTGGGATCTCCTGAAAAGGAAAAGCCTTAATAAAAGAGAGATGGCACACAGATGGGTCTTTCAGCTCCACTTCCTCCCCTCCAACACCTACCTTTGTGGTAAGTGGACCTTCAAAGATCTCCAGATGTTCCCTTGGAGAAATATCTGTGCTGGAAAGAGTTGGAGAATGGGAAAGGATGAGACCAATTATGTAACAATTGTGTGACATCCAGTCAATTCTGATTTATGGTGACCCTTTTCACAGTTTTCTAAGTAGTTAGTAATCAGAAATAGTTTTACCATTCCCTTTTTCTAAGACATCCTGGGACTGTGCAGCTCGCCCAAAGCCACACAAGCTGGCTTTACTCCCAGGAAAAGCAGTGGGGAATTGGGCTCCAAGCCTTTGGCTTTACAGCCAGATGCCTAGCTCACGGAGCGATCCAGCCAGTGAATGCAACTATAGAGGTAGATTATTGTGCTTCAGAGGCAGAATCAAAATGAAAGCAAAGCAAATCTCCCAGTGTTAACAGCTCCGCAACATCAGATTAAATGTTTTACCCGTTGCGTGTTGTCTCAACTTCACAGTCAGGACAGCTGCCTTCATGCCTTCTCTCCCTCGCATCTCTTGAATCTTCTGCTCCTGGATGAGGATCATCTCCAAGGAGGTAGGTGGTGAAGGAGGAAGCAAAACTCTGAGGGTGAAGTAGAGAGGATGAAACATTGAAAACAGAGTAATGAGCTAGGAATCCAGCTGACTTCCTCTGGAAAAACCATGGGCCCTGGATCCCACTCAAGCTGGACTGACAACCCAGAGAAAGGGGTTTTTGCTAACCACTGCCTGTTGCAGAGCCCCGAGCAGACGTTGAAGGTACTCCATCAGACGCTGGGATCAGGTGGAGATAAGGTAAAAAAACAGCAGCTTCCCCTTTCTCCCCAGGGAGGGAAGTAAACATCATCACAACTTTTAACCACATGCTCCTCCTCTTCCTTGCAGTCATAGCCACGGTCCATTCTGGCTTTACACAACTGCAAAAGCAGCGACAGCTCACCACAAAGCGGACGGAAACAAGAAGCCTTTGGACAGTCAGGCAGCGTCAACTATTGGCTGAGTCAGCCTCAAATGAGAGGAGTGCAAAACCATCCCCAAAACAACATCAGTCGTGCTATTGAAACCACTGAAATGTCCCTCAGAAGCTTTTTTGTTGTTGTGCCAGCAGGGTCTCTTCAGATTAATTTGTTTCTGTTTCCTGGAAATATCATGGCAACTTCATCTGAAATCTACGCTGGCCTGTGATGAACTCTGACTGAAAACCCACCTACAAGCAAAGGACAGAATCTGTTGTGGACTTCAGGGTCAAGTTTGGCGTAACTGGGAAACCCAGCACGGCTTTGGGGGTCACAGTTTTCTATTCTGCACAGAACTATTTATTATTATCATGTTCTTTACTCTCAAAATGGGGACGTTGAAGGCAGTTAACAGCCATAATAATTTTTAATGGTTTAGTTTGAAAAAAAGGCAGAGGTCAAAATAAGCAAAACTGTGCATTGTACACTGAAGAAATACAATTTCATGCACAAATTGTCTCGGCTGTGAATCCATCCAGTTAAATGGTGCTGGCTTTTTTTAAAATGCTTTTTCAACAGAAGCATATGTAGAACTCACAAGTTCAAGATTTCTCAGATGTTCAGTACTTGGAAAAGTTACCTTTTGTGGATGGCAATTCTCCAAATTGGATATGTACACTTGCAACTGAGTATGTGGACACAATATTCTCAGAGTAAACTTTGCCCTTTCACTTTTTTCTAGACATTTCCTTTTGGGTCACACAGCACATCACCCATGGATCATAGAACACTGAAGAACGGAAAACAGAAATCTTGACCATATCCTTTGCAATTATGGAGAAAGTTTTGACAAAACTGCTGAGCCGGAAAAAAATGGAAAAACTTAAGATCATAATATTCCCCACCTTAAATCTGGGAATGAATTACAAAAGTAGAATAATAGCCATACAAAGCAAAAGCGTGCTGCTTATATACCGCCCCATAGCGCTTCAAGCACTCTCTGGGTGGTTTACAAGTTAATTATGCAGGCTACACATTGCCCCCCCCACCCAGCAAGCTGGGTATTCATTTTACTGACCTCAGAAGGATAGAAGGCTGAGTCAACCTTGAGCCAGCTACCTGGGATTGAACCCCAGGTCGTGAGCACAGTTTTGGCTGCAGTACAGCGATTTAACCACTGCGCCACGAGGCTCACAGTAATCTATTTTGATGGACAGTGTCATTGAAGCGACCAACATAAATTTGACCAAATTCCGGGAGGCAGTAGAAAACAGGCGGGTCTGGCGTGCTCTGGTCCACGGGGTCATGAGGAGTCCGACACGACTTAACAACTAAACAACAACAAATCTATTTCATAGGAAAACAGTATGGTATAATATGCCCCATAGGGAAAGTGTCCAGAGGTCAAGGTAGATGTTAAGGGGAAGGGTCTGTTCTCAAGGATTATGTGCCCCAATAATCTTAGAGGCTGACTATGAAGGCGTTTAACCCACTGTTTGATCTGCTGCAGGGGTGGGCTGGTTCACTCCTAAATACGTGATCAGATGACATCAAAACAGTATGGTATAATATGCCCCATAGGAAAAGTGTCCAGAGGTCAAGGTAGACATTAATTTAATTTCTGGGAAGGGTCTGTTCTCAAGGATTATGTGCCCCAATAATCTTAGAGGCTGACTATGAAGGCGTTTAACCCACTGTTTGATCTGCTGCAGGGGTGGGCTGGTTCACTCCTAAATACGTGATCAGATGACATCTTTGCTGGAGCAAATCAGCCCACCCTCAGAATGTTCACACCTGAACCTTTCTGGCACCTGTCACAGGTGTCTCCTTTTTTGTTTTGGGGAGGATCATTCGGTTTTGATCTGTTTCCAGCAATAGAAACGATTCCTCCTAATTTAATTTCCCAACATTGTGAAGAGAGCTACTTCATGATATGGCAAATTAAATACTTTCTCAGCTCCACAGAGGGGCTGAGGAAGTTTTTTAAAAGATAAGAGTGCATTAGAGCTGTTAATATGTATATTTCATGGCTGAGTGAGAACTTGAACCCAAGTCTCTTGAATCCTAATCTAACACTCTAATCATTACACCACAGCGATTGTGACATTGGCAGTGGGTCACAGGCACGAGCATGGAGACAAGACTGGGGGAGCACAGTCCATAAAGTGGGAAACGAAACAAGGTACAGTATTACTAAGAGAACAAAACTGACTTATATTTTGAATATAATATATTCTCAATATAATTATAGTCACAGGACAAACTACTGAATGTCTGCAAACTTACCAATGAAATTATGTCCAACTTACGGTGCAATCAGACACTACGAGCATGGAGACAAGACTGGGGGAGCACAGTCCATAAAGTGGGAAACGAAACAAGGTACAGTATTACTAAGAGAACAAAACTGACTTATATTTTGAATATAATATATTCTCAATATAATTATAGTCACAGGACAAACTACTGAATGTCTGCAAACTTACCAATGAAATTATGTCCAACTTACGGTGCAATCAGACACTATGAAAGGAGATTATGTCCAACTTACGGTGCAATCAGACAGGAGTGTGAAAGGAGTGTGGCAGATCACAGGGTTTGGTACGCCTGTCAAATATCCAGGCAAAGCAGCGGATTGGACTTGATGGCCTTCCAGCACAATTATTCTAATACTGTATACAAATTAGTCCATGACTCTATGATTGCACTGGAAAGGGTTGCTTTGCTGGGAATAATCTCCCTTAAAGTGTCCTTTCTATTCCATGTATATTGTTTGAACTTCGGGATATAGATCATACTGGACTACACCACAAGCGGTCCATAATGTGAGATATTTCCTTGTGTGATCACATCCTGAGGGTGCGATTGCACTGGAAAGCCAAATTGGAGCTATTCAGCTTTGCTGCGATTTGATTTGCAGCCTGTTACCCCGTTTCACCAAAAATAAGACCTAACCTGAAAATAAGCCCTAGTACGATTTTTCAGGATGCTTGCAATATAAGCCCTACCCCAAAAATAAGCCCCAGTTAAGTGAAACCCTGCCCTCCACCATTGTGCAGCTATGAAAAGAAGATGACATGACTGTATTTGAATAAATGTATGGTAGATTGCTGTTGAGGGGTAAGCGATGACAAACCTAGACAGCATCTTAAAAAGCTGACAAAGGTCTGCATCGTCAAAGCTATGGTTTTTCCAGCAGCGATGTATGGAAGTGAGAAATGATTTATAAAGAAGGCTGTCCGCCAAAGAATTGATGCTTTTGAATTGTGATACTGAAGGAGACTCTTGAGAGTCCCCTGGACTGCAAGGAGGACAAACCTATCCTTCTGAAGGAAATCAACCCCGAGTGCTCACTGGAAGATGAGGCTCCAATACTTTGGCCATCTCATGAGAAGAGAAGATTCAATGGAAAAGACCCTGATGTTGGGAAAGTGTGAAGGCAGGAGGAGAAGGGGATAACAGAGGACGAGATGGATGGACAGTGTCATCGAAGCTACCAACATGAATTTGACCAAACTCCGGGAGGCACTTAGATTAGTGCTCTAATTCTGATGTTCTTATTAGAATTCATATGTTGTTCTGTTGATCTTATTGCTTGGCTGTCACTGGATTAAGCTTGTTAATATTATTCCATTACTTGTCTGACCTCAGTATCACAAATTACTCCCTTTGCTGAAAATTGTGTAAGAGGAACAGCCAGCAGATGGCCATTTCAAAAGAACAATGTGTTCTTGTTGAGCTGCAGAAGATGAAATGACATGTAGGCATTCAAAAAGACATCCTGGCTGGTCAGACCCAAGACCGTTTTCCAGCCTGATCCATCAATAGCCCTTGGCTGATAAAACAAGTTCTAGAACTCACTGCATTCTCAAGAGTGGTGTGTGTACGTGTGCATGGAATCTCCATGTCCCTTTACATATGGGTCATTATACTCACTAGGGGAGAGTCTTCCATTTTATTTTTTTATTAAAAACAAATTTAACTTGTCTTTCTCCTTAGAAAGGACCCAATGTGGCTTACAACAATCCAAAGACCATATTTAAGTTAGTAGCAATCATACAATACTAAAAGGATCTATGAATACAATACCAGAAAAGCGTAAGCAAGGCCAAATTCCATTCAAAGCAGTAAAGTACAACAATGCATTATAAAGACTCCACTTGGCGGCTCAGGGAAAGCTTGCCAGAAGAGAAAGAAAGGTCTTCACCTTTTCTTCCACTGTTCTGCAGATGGATGTGTGGTGATCTTTATACTGTAAATAAGCAGCAAGGAGGCGCTTATTTATAAATATACTGTAAACACAGAGACAGGCACTCTGTATTACAGTGGATGCTTTTTCCACAATTCAAGGCTGCGCATCAAGACAGAGGGGCAAAGATACTGCTTTCTTACCACAGAATCCTACATGTATCAGGGAAATGCACGCACAGAGGCATAAATGCACACAACACGGGCTGTGTGCACAAATTGTGGTAACTCGGGGCAATGCAGCGCCTCTCCCTGCCCCACCCCGAGGAAAATGTCTGTGGATACTCCGGTTTGGGTTGGTACTCTTGCCCTCAATAAAATCAACTCACTGCTAAGTTTTGACACTTTTCTGCTCTGCACAGTCTTCGGGGGTTAGTTGTGATTGTTTTATCATGTTTCTGCTGGTTTATTTTGTGGAGGTTCCCCCGCCCTGCCCCCGCTGCTACGGATATTATCATGATGATGTTTATTGTAAGCTTATTTGAGTTTTTACTTGCATGTTTAAAACCTCGTTAGCTGCTCTGGATGGCCAACAGGCTCAGAGAAATCAGGCAAAAGTTACAAAATAAAATAGATAACAAGGAAAATTTCCTATGGGTTTTAATTTAAAGGCATAACTTTTAAACAGCTGTCGGCGTGTAGCTGTCAACCGTTTGAAGCAAAGCGCGCTCAAGTTACTGGATACAACAGGATGTACATCGGGGACGGGAAAAGGATATTAGAGGGTCACATAAGGGGGGGCACTGGCAGCAAAGAAAGGGCGTCAAACCAGGAAGCATCGTCACGTGGGGACCTGCAAGGTCACATGACTCCCGTTTCAGGAAGACGCGTTTGGCTCTCGGTTTGCAGGGAGAGGAGGTGGCATTTCCAGTTGTGTTTAAAAGGATAGAACAGACCCTTAGGAAGGAGAATTATGTATGTGGGAAAGAGAGAGAGTAGAAGACAGAGACGTATTATCCCAGTGTGGTTATGAAGCTTCTGGGATTTCTTTTTTGCTCATCCCGACCCTCTGCTATTTTTAATTACTGTATCATTATTATTTAGGTAGTCTCCCTCAGTAACCCGTCCTCTCCTGTCTCCGATGGGGCCTATATGGGGTGGATGGCAGGGCATCTCGTCTGATCCTGAAGGTGAGATCTGGCTCCCCTTTCAAGTCCCCTCTCCTTCTATGTCCCCTTTATTTTATTGACCTTGCTTCTCTTCCAAAACAAAAACAGGAGAAGATGAAGATGTACCCCGTTCTGTGGAGCCAGCTACCAACCCGGATGCCTGCAGCCTTCGAAGGAACAATTTGGGCTTCTGGTGAGATCCCTTTTGCTTTATTTCCATTGTTTTCCTCAAGGTGCTGCTGCTGGCATGAAAGCTGATTCTCTAGGATTATCTGATTTCTGTTGGGTTCGTCCTGTCACTGTTACAACATGAAGTCACTCTTTGTATCCTTTGTGCATGACTTCTTTTGCCTTAGGCTGCATGCATTCAATTAGATTTATATTTAATTTTCTAGGCTTTCTGCTTTTTGCAATTGCCACCTTTCATATATATTCCTTTCCAACATATCAGAACTCTCTGGTGCTGCTTACAGCCTTGCTTGTTTTATCTCTCACACACTGTTTGCTTGGGTGCTGGAGGACTTTGGGTATGGGAATGATATTCTAAAGAAACTGTGGTCCAAAGTGATGACCCTGCATCCTTGGCATGTGGCTGGACTCCCAAGTCTTACCATCCCTGGCCATCATTCATGCTGGCTGAGACTGATGAGAGTAGAAGTCAATCAATCTGTGGATCACAGATTCCCCACCCATGGTCTAAAGCACCTGTGGTCTTTAGCCCTCCAGATACTGATTAATAGCCATTGGCCAGACTTTGGAATAAAAACTGAACATCCTAAGGGTCGTGTGTACCCCAGCTGTCGTCTAAAGAAAGGGTGGACAAAACACAGCCCCTCCAATTCAACTTCTAAATAGATCATTGGGTTTACTGGCATGGTTTAGCACCCTCAGATACTGAATGTTCAAAACTCAAATGAACATCTGATTTTGTTCTTATTTTAGGGGGGATTTTTGGCAGTCTGTGCAACTCCAGAAGATCCCAGGGGCAGAAAAGTAGCTGTCAGACACACCAAATCTTCCCACCCCTTGTGGCAGTACACCTGGTCCTTGGCAAAGTGATGGAAGTAGGAGTCTGATTGGTTTCTGAGTGGGAAAACTGAGAGCTTGGGAAATTGGGGCTTTACATGCACCCATTTGAGCTGCAGTATAGAAAATGTTTAAAAATCAAATCAGATGCCATTGCTTTCATGTCACAGGTTACTGGGACTCTGCAACAATTTTGCGTATGTGGTTATGCTGAGCGCTGCCCATGACATTCTCAGCCATCAGAAGGTGCCTGCTGGCAATGGGACTGGACCGGTGAGTGTGCGGAGCAAAAAAAAAGCAGACATACGCAGCTGTGTCTGTTGTGCAAAATGGGACAAAAAAACAAGCGGAGATTAGGAAATGTGTCTCACCCTGCAAAAGACCGTGTAAACAAAATGCACTTGCTTAGAAGTAGGGAGTGTGGCATACCTGGATCTGAGGAGTTCTCAAGGAGAAAAGGAAAGCCGCAGCTGAAAGGTGAAAATGCAGTTCGGTGAGGGTGCAACTGGCTGTGCAGAAAATGACAGAGTAGGGTTTGAATATTGTTAACACCTGAGGGTGGCACAAGCACTTGGACCTGCTTAGTCTGTGGATATTTGATAGGCCCACTGAACCCTGCAGAGAGAGTGCATTTCAACTGAGCATTAGGAAACTTACTAATGGTAAGAAAAATTGGCAAGGGAGTGAGTGGGGGTAGAGGCTGAGATGCTTTCTCTTGCTGGAGGTCTTCAAATAGAGGCTAGGAAGCTTTTGGGATGGAAAACAGTCGCTCTGGATTTCTTTCGCCAGGCAAGGAGATGGACTAGTTGCCATTTAAAGTCCTCTCGGACTCTGTGCTTCCTGGATCGTGATCCTCCCTGCTTCTTTTTGTACTGGAAAAAATGTCCCTAAGTTCAAGGATAGAATGAATAAAAAGCAAGTAAAGTCACGATCGGTTTATCCCAAGGACACCAGGATGAATGACAAAATGAGTTGTACTCTCTCACACAAAAGATTATTGCATGGAGAAATCATTAAATAGTTGGTAAGACAGAATGAGTGGTGGTGTCCTCTCCAACATCTAATCTTTGGTTTCTGGTGTCTGATTCCTCCCACAGGTGCCCCACGACGCTAATGCTTCTCGCTATGACTGCAACCCCATTTCTACAGGGGTAGGTACGGGGGGGGGCAATGGGAATATGTTTGATAATTTGACACTGACTCTTATTCACTATTGTCTCTTTGGTGTGCCCTACAGGCCGTGCTGTTAGCTGACATTCTGCCCACTCTTCTGATCAAATTCAGCGCTCCTTTTTGTATCCACTTGTTCCCATATGGGTGAGTTGGCAAAGTTCACAAGAAGTAATGATGGATCTGGACTGAACTCTTTTGAAATGTAGCAAGCAATAATTCATTTACATAGACCTGTAATTTGACATACACACCCCAAAAAGGAACAAAATGTATACTCCATAGAGAAGACAACTAAGGTTCCATCTCCCCTGCAAACTTGTGATCTTTCTGTTAATGTATTTCTTTTAAAAAAGAACATTTTATTCAGAGCAGCAGGAAAGCAGAGCTGGGATATAGCTAACTAACACGTTATATTGTTGCTTTAAATACATCCTTTTGGGGTAACAAGTAATATAATAAGTAGTCACTGAAGTGATTTTAGATATAACAAGTGATACCTAAGTTATTACTAAGTTACTTAGAATTGTCAGGTAACACCTAACTATCTTCAAAAGCTACTTTTCAAGGCATTTTAAGATATCTTAAGAGAATTTTTAAAGGAAACGTTCATGTTTTATGCCACTGTCTTATCAAAGCTAAGTGGCAAGGTAAGTACAGTATTCTTTGGCTTTTTGGCTTTCATATTTTTTGTAAATATTTCCAAGGTGCAATATCAGGACATTCCACTAGGGAACCAGAGGAGTATTTCCTCATTTTTTCTGGCCTGTTTGTCTAGACGGGCAATGGCGAACCTATGGCACGCGTGCCACAGCTGGAACACTCTGTGGGCATGTGAGCCATAAGCCGCCATCGAGAAATACCTGTCCTCTGATCCTGAATTTTGGCACTCCCCTGTGCTGGTGCAGTGGTCCAGTGGAGGGGTGCAATGGCAGCCATCACTGTTGTAGCCTGATGGGGGGAGGACCGGTAAATATTTATCTGTTAATACCGTACCTAGGAGAAAAAAACCAAGCATTTAACCCTTGCAGTGCGGGGGCAATTGTTTTTAAATAAGTTGATTTTGTGTTGCAGTTTGGTCACTCGGGCTCAAAAAGGTTCGCCATCACTGGTATAGACAGTGGAACTTGTTGAAAAGAGGCAGTGCAACAAATTAGGGGTAGTCTTGGAGCAGCAATAACTGCCAGGGAATAATGATCAATAGTTCTTTACAAAACTCTAATGTTCCAAGCTCCAGGGGAAAAAAGGGGTCTAAAGGAACTGTGCCTCTGTAACAGATTTACAGTAGCCATTCCTTACTCTCCATCCAGAGTGCCTGGTTATTAGGAGACATTCAGTTGCTGTGAGGAAGGGGAGAATATTCGTTATCATGAGGGAGTTACTGCCGGTGGTAATTCCAAATTGTTTTGTTTTACTCCTCATCTCACAGCTTGCGTGTGGCCATCTGCGTCCTCACAGCTTGGGGCAGTTTCTTGCTGGTGGCCTTCTCAACAGGCACAGCCCAAAGTATGGCAGGTAGGTGCTATCCATGTTGGGAATTTATGAGGGAACATATAGTCATTGTTGTCATCATCATTTTAGAACTGCTGAGTTGGAAGAGACCAAATGGATCATTGAGGAGGCGAGGCACAGTGGGGGAATAGAACTCCCAACCTCTAGCTCCCCAGCCAGAGACCTAAACCACTGAGCTATCCAACAGTTCTCCAGATGCAAGGCAGTTGCCCCCCTCAGCTTTATATGGTGTCCTCTCAACTACTGGTTTTAGAAAGCTGTAGTGGGTGGGAACATGATTTGACAAAAAGGGAGCAGGGACTCAGGGAAGAGGTATATGTATTTCATGAAGACCTCAGACATTTCTCTCGACCATGATTTGAACACATACAAGTTTAGATCCAAACTATGTTAATTGAACCTTGGTTCCCTCAAAATCAGTGCGGCAAATCAGTCATAACGTGACTTGAGTCCCATTGATTTTTGGTAGGCCTCGGGTGCAGCTTAGCTAACATCTGAATGGAAACCAATCTCTAACCTTAGAATCATCCCCTTTCGAAGCAAACTTAACATTAAGTAGCACTTATAATTGACCAACAATTAGTACTTCAGATAGGATTAGCTTCTCTCACCCTGAGGAAGTTGCTCTCTGTAAAATTCCATCTTTTATACAGTCCATAAAACACTACATTTCTGGCTCATGTAATGTTCAGTAGCACAGGAGAACAGATCGTAGTTGGCTGATGAGATTTGTTTCCTTCTCGTTGTCATAGGTGTCGTGCTGGCCAGTATCTCATCTGGCTTGGGTGAAATAACGTTCCTGGCACTCACATCTTTCTTTGACAGGTAACAAAAAGGGGGAGAGTTTGTAAAGCTGTCACTTGGGTTGGATGGTGCTTCCCGTTTGCTCAGAGAATAAGGTCTGTGGCTTTTCAGACTGTTGCTGAACTTTATGGAGGCAAAACCTTGCTGTTTGTCTCAGCAATGCTCATCTGGGTAACTGCTTTTAATGAGAAAGGCAAACATTGTTTTTCCCAGAACAATGACTGTCATTGTGTCTTTCACTTAAAAAAAAGTAGTAGCAGAAGCAGTTCTGCAAGTTTTCAGCTTACTCTGTTAACTCTGGGAAAGGTAGATCCTGTGGTTGAAATCCTGCTGCTTAGTGTGGCAAATCACGACTGAATAGTGGGCCCGCTGAATCTGTAATGATTTTGGAATCAACTCCTCTCCAAGTCCCTTTTGTTCAGTAGAACTACTCTTGTTGCTAAGCAGCAGGATTTTAGCCTATATGTAAGAAGGTGCTGATGCTGTGTTGTGTTACCAAAGAATCTCCCTGTGCAATCCACAGAGCAGTTGTACAACATTTTTAAATTTATTGTACTGAATCCAGATATAATCGTATGCACAGTAGCCTTGTTGTTTGGGGAAGGGGGAGTCTGTGTTTAACTAAACCTAAGTCTACCCATTTTGTTTGTCTGCCTGTTTTCATAAAGATGGATGTTCCTCTAATACATGCAGCATTTCAAATAACAGTGACGGGCAGTCAGCTAGCCAAATTAATGCAGTGAAAGACAAGGCTGATCCATTATTGAATTTTTTTTGTCATATACCACATCACAGATCATGTCACAGATCAGGGTTGCTTGTGATGGAGTTGATGTGAAGGAGAGAGGCACCATCTCTTGAGTAAAAAAAATAATAACAACAGGATAGAGACTATTTGTCTCACAGCTTGGAAATACTTTTTGTTTGTTTGTTTTGGCAGCAACTCCCAAAATTCTCCCAACTGCACAGCCACTGATTTATTTCATTTTATTAATTTCATTACTTTATATACCACCTCATCGGTGCGAGGCACTATTCTGGGCAGTTAACAGTCGATAAAATAAGTAATAAGGAAAGGACCAGTGTAAATCCTGAAGACAAAAGTCAAATCATGTCACGTTTAAAAACCAGGATTGTGTAACATTTCATAATAAAATGGCAGGGCAAGAGGTGAAGAAGCTATTTTGTCTAGAGATTCTAGAGGTTGTATCCCAAGAAGTGATTTTTCCAAACAGTAACGGAGACAGTAGATGGTTGTTGTAGGTTTTTGGGCTGTTTGGCTGTGTTCTGAAGCTTTTTCTTCCCAACGTTTCGCTAGCCTCTGTGGCTGGCATCTTCAGAGGACAGGAGTTAGAACTCTGTCTGTGTTCTGGTGTAGTGTGTGGGATAGCTGCGTATTTGTAGCTGTAGGATCAGATTTTTGTCCTTTTCAGGAGATTGGGTGATTATGGTGATCAGGGTGTGTTTTTTTTTGTTATGAGTGTATTGTTGTGATAAGGAGTGGGGAGATGATCTGTCACTGTGACTGATGGCAGCAGAACTCACATTTTTTGCTTTTCTCTCCTCTAGCACGGTGGTGTCTGCGTGGTCCTCTGGGACAGGAGGGGCTGGCCTGATCGGCGCCCTTTCCTACCTGGGGCTGACAGAGGCAGGCTTGAGCCCTCGACACACCCTCCTCATCATGATGGTTGTTCCTGTGATCATGCAGGCCAGGTGAGCTTTGAAAGCAGGAGGGGAGGGAGTGGGCTTAGTGGTGGTATGGATGGATGTGAGTGAAAAAGAGGAGCAGCGATTGCCAGGGACACAAGGGGGTGAGGTAGGCCGTCAAATTCTGGGGGATCTCATTCAAAAAACACACACCTCCACACTTCTCAAGGACAATAATCTCAGAGCCCCATGTCCCTGATTACAAGAAGGCATTTCCATTTGAGAGACATTAGGTACCTGCCTAAAGCAGTCAACCTCTTTTGTATATTGTGTTATTCCACAATACAGCAGTCCCTTTGACCACTCCCCCCCACTTCATTCTCTGTAGCTATTGCTTCCTGTTGGCTCCACCTCCTCATGCCCCCCGCTGCGGCTGGAGTACTTCTACACAGAAGTCTCAGCAGGCCTCTTCCATGTCTCAGGAGCCACTCCTGGGGCGGGAAAGCACAGCCCGGAACAGTAAGTGATCCTTATGAATTTCAGTAGTGAGATCCTTTGCCTGGATTAGTGTAAAAACATTGAGCTTTGATCCCTCAGCAGACGAAATCCTCCAATAGCAACCTGGATGCATCCGAGGGAACAACCATTTACCTATAAAGAAACTTTTTAGCTAAAGATTTATATTCCTGCTTCTTTACCAGTGATGCCCTCTGCTGATGCCGAGGAAAGAAGGAGAATTTTAAGAAAAGCCACGCTGGATTAGACCAAAGGGCTGTGTAGTCGAGCACTCTGTTCACACAGGAGTCTGTCAGTTGTCCATGGGAAGGGCACCAGCAGAATAAGTCTGCCTTGTGTTCCCCAACAACCAATGTGCAGTTTTGTCATTGTGTATTCATTTCTGTAACATTTCACAGTGTGCCAAATGCTGATAAGCCAATTGATAATTGTTTTCTTTATCCTTTCTTATTTTAAACCATTCGCTCCCACCTCCAGACACAAAAAGCTGTCGTCTGAGTTTGCAAGAAAAGGGGCAGGTGGTCAAGGTAAGCATCATGCTCAAAATACATGTATCTAGGGAGAAAATGGAACAGGTTGGGGGATGAATTTAAAGGTGTCTTTACTTTAGAGTGTGTGAGATGGAGTCCAGTGCTTGATTGTTAACTTAAAAAATGGAGGCAGATAGGACATAAAAACAATGAAAAAATCTTCAAAAACAAAGCATTGAGCTCGACCACTTCTCTTGGGTATTTAAAGAGAAATGTTTTTATAAACTGCCAACTCTTTTATTTGATTTCATTTTGCTCAATGCGTTTTGAAGTATGAGGCCTTTTCTCAACAGCATTCTATAACCAACTACAAAGAATAAATGGCCAGAAGGAAAGGTTCTGACTGAGTGCCGTCACTCTGTAGTGAAGGTGATCTGAACATTCTCAGAAAAACTCTTTTAATAACTATTATGACTGCTCCTGCTTTCATATGTTCTACAGCTTTGGACTTGCACTGGGAGCAGATAAAACTCTTTGTGATTGTTGCATGAGACATTTCTTCCCTAAAAAAGAATTATCTCTAGTGTTCATACACCATTGCCTTCAGAGGAAAAAAGTATTCCCCGTGTCGGGGAAACAGGCATAAAAAGCACAGTTTCAAAAGCTGTATTTCTTGAGGTGAAAATGTATCTCATTTCTTCTGTAGTGTCATGGTTTCATGTAAACATGTGGCCTTTGTAGGATGTGCTGACATGCCATTTCTCTCCCACAGGGTCTACTGAAATATCTGATCCCTCTGGCGATAGTGTATTTTGCAGAATATTTTATCAACCAAGGGCTGGTGAGTGGGAAGGGTGCAGAGATGGCTTTGGTGATCATTCCTTTAGCCTTTCCCCCCTTAACCCTTTCTTCTCTCTCCATTCTCCTCCCCTCAGTTTGAGCTGCTGTATTTCCGAACAGCATCTTTCGGTCATTCCCAACAATATCGCTGGTGAGTATGTGGGCTGGGCAGACAATAAAAAGGAGGCTTTGCACTGCATTTGAGCTGAGTAAGCATTGGTAGGCTAGAAAAGAAAAGAATTGGGATCTGAAATGAGCCCTGCATTTCTCTATCTGAAGGGTGGGCCTCCCCTTCTACCCCAAAGACTTAAATCATTGCCTAATAAATCTTTGTGAACTCCATGGTGGGAGTGTACAGAGCCAGACAGAAAAGAATTATATCAAAGTATCAGTCTTTTTAAAAAAAAACCACTCAAATCACTTGCTGACAGTAATTAAGCCTTAGGAGAACTGTTCTGCCTTTTAGAATAGAAGAGACCCCATATAATTGCTTAAAAATAATCAAATAACGGTGTTGTGCAGAAGGGAATGTGGCTGATTTGGGGGTATGGGAGGTAGATTGTCATTCTCGGGCATGAGATTCCCTACCCTCCCTCTGTCTCCTGCAGGTACCAGATGTTGTACCAGGCTGGTGTTTTTATCTCGCGTTCATCTGCCACCTGCATACGGATCCGGCAGATCTGGCTCCTTGCAGTGCTTCAGGTAAAACGTTCCCTTCTCACACAACCTCCCTGCCCATAGGTTATTTCTTCCTGCCTTTCTGGGATGCACAATTCCCCCTCTGCACATGATAAGCTCTATCCTTTTATCCAGGCATCCTGGCCTTTCCTCTCTCCACGTGTCCTCTGCTATTGAAGGAAGGAGGACCATGCTGTATATGAAGTTAGACCATTGCTTCATGTGGCAGCTTTACAATCTGAGATCCTTTTAACTACAGATGCTGAGAACTGAATTTGGGACCTGGGCATTTCTTCAGTAGCGGAAGCAGCGGGATACTGGACTGTGGCTCAGTGGGTCCAAGAACTGGAACTTTTTGCTTAATAGGGAAAACTGTGTCATTTACCTGTCTTCTCCTTCCGGGCCTCTCTCGGCGTCAGGCTCCTCAGCCTCACCTCCTGACTCGTGCAGGTGATCCGGGTAAACCTTGGTGGGAGGAGGCGTTCCGCCAAATATCGAGGTCCTAAACCGTTTAGGGCCTTATAAGTAAGCATTAAAACTTTGAAGTTGACACGGAAACAGATGGGCAGCCAATGCAATGCGGCCAGGTGTCTCTCTACTTGTCCTCTGCTATTGAAGGAAGGAGGACCATGCTGTATATGAAGTTAGACCATTGCTTCATGTGGCAGCTTTACAATCTGAGATCCTTTTAACTACAGATGCTGAGAACTGAATTTGGGACCTGGGCATTTCTTCAGTAGCGGAAGCAGCGGGATACTGGACTGTGGCTCAGTGGGTCCAAGAACTGGAACTTTTTGCTTAATAGGGAAAACTGTGTCATTTACCATTCTCTTTTAAGCTTCCCAGTTCTTTCTAAGCTTAACTACATCCCTTGCCCAGGAAGTGAAGGAAATATCAATTTTATTATCAGTAATAAATTATAGTGAATTATTTCTACTGTAACACAAAGTACTTTGAAGTGGTTTGGTTCTGAACAGGCAATTAAGACACATTAGCACTGCAAAAGACCTGTTTCTTTCATTGTCACTAACTTTCTTCTTCTCTCCTCTTAGTGCCTGAACATGGTATTCCTCTTGTTTGCGGTGAGCTACATGTTTTTACCCAGCATCTACTTGGTTTTTGCTCTGATACTCTACGAGGGTTTACTAGGAGGAGCCAGCTACGTGAATACCTTCCACTGTGTTAGTGCAGAGGTGAGCCTGTGAGGGGAAACTAGAGAGAGAAGAGAATGTGAAATGTATTAATATACTATCTGTAAGGACAGGGCTGTAATTGAATACTTGAGTGGGTACAGGAAGGTATCTTGGTATTTCTGAAGGAAATAAAATACAGTGGTGCCTCGCTTAGCGATGTTAATCCGTTCCAGGAAAAACGTCGCTAAGGGATTTCGTCGCTAAGCAATTTTTAAAAGCCCACAGAAACACATCAAAACATGTTTAATGTGTTCCTATGGGCTTAAAAATGACCTTATGCGAAGATCCTCCATAGGGGCAGCCATTTTCGGTGCCTCCAAAGCAAGGCAAAACAGCGGTCGGCATTTTGTTTTTCCGGCGGCCATTTTGGAACCGCTGATCAGCTGTGCAAAAACGGGGGCTTTGCGATGATCGCTTCTTCGCAATCATTGCAAAGCCCCCGCTGATCAGCTGTACGGAAATGGGGGCTTGATCAGCGTGGGCTTTGCGATGATCACGCGGAAGCGATCATCGCAAACGCCCCCATTTTCGCACAGCTGATCAGCGGGTCCTTTGCAATGATCACTTCCCTGCAATCATCGCAAAGCGAATTTTCCCCATAGGGGCCATCGCAAAGCAATCGCTCTTGCGATGGCAAAAAGTCCATCGCAAAGCGATTTCGTTGTAAAACAGAGCGATCGCTATGCGAGGCACCACTGTATGGGTCCAGATATTTAGGGGTTCAAATTCCCAGAAGCCTTGACTGTCAGGCATTCTGGGAACTGAAAGCCAATAGGTGAAATCATAAGTGCCATAGACTCAGAAATGAGGCACATTCTCACTTTCCCAGGGAAGGTCAAAACAGGGCCTGTTGATGAGTATGAATTGCGAGGCCCAATACATGACATTTATTTATTTATGCTGGAGTAGCAGAGGATGCTCTCCACTCACTCAGGCCAAGGTATGTAATATACTCTGAGCCAGCTAAAATATTATTGTGTAGAAGACACATGTTTCCCCTAATACCACTGCCCATTTCTGGCGATAAAAACACAATAAAATACTCCTTGATGTCCAGAATCTGCTGCATGAAGTGGCCATGTAACTCTGGCCTACCTATTGCTTTCATGGCCAGCTTGTTAGTCTGCAGTGATATGTCAACAATGCTGAAGATTTATTTATTTAAACACAGCACCACGTTTTGTGTGTCTGTGTACCACACCAGTAGTGTGTTATGCTCAGAATAGCATCTTGTGGATCACATGCTGTTTGAGGAGGAGTTAGGAAGTAAAAGTCTATGTAAGAAGATAATTACTGTTTAATTTAAATTTTTGTCTTCCCTGAAATACAGAGCCAGCCAGAGCACCGAGAGTTTGCCATGGGAGTGGCCTGTGTAGCCGACACATTCGGTATCTCGCTTTCAGGTGCCATTGCCATTCCTGTCCATGACTACTTCTGTCGACTCCCTTGAGGTCTGCGTTCCAGAGGGACCAAGGGATGCATTAATATGTGACCATTCTGTTCTGAGTGGTCCAGCATCTGATATCAAGGAGGGGAGAAAAACAAGACTTTTTGCATATACCCTCCTGTGACTGTGAAGCAGAAAGGAGGCGGATCTGAGATTCAGCCTTTGATTTTAATTTCCCTGCCATTTTCATTTTGGGGATCCTTCTGTTTTAATTGAACTTTGCTGGGTGTCTTCTGTTGCATGTTACATGAGGCCCAGGTGGCAGAATCACAGCACATAAAATTACACTTGAATAGGGAATCATGTTAAACGTTTTTCAGAAGAGAAGTATTTTAATCCTGCACGTGTGACTTGCAGGACATATTGTTATAGTGGGAAGGGAATGCACAATAGTATTTGGCATGAGGATCCACATAACCTTAAGAGATATCAAGTGTAGGTATCATTCATTGGTGACTATAATGGGAGGCAAGGAAACAGATTTAGGTCAGACATGTATCCAATCAAGGAAAGGGGGAAACAATTTTGCACTGTGGTCAATATCTGTCTCAAACAATAAACCAGCCTTTGGAAGAGTGATTGTCTCTCATTAAAGTATTGCCACTTGTCAAACAAACAAATGGGATATAGGCTGTAAGCTTGAGTTTGAAGATCTAATTTGCTGCTCGAAGTCACTGATTAAAGAACTCTAGTTGGCAACTAGAGTTAATGATGGCAATTGGAAGGGAGCAAAACAACTTTCAAACATTTGAAAAACTTCTGAATTGATTAATTCCACAATGATCCATCATGGTCATAGACATGCTCGAATCTTGAATAGATCTCTCTTTATTCAAGTCTTTGCTTCTGTGCAGCAAAGGAGACGCCCTGGTTTTAGCTCCCAGACAATACAGTGGACCCTCGACTTACTGACGGCTCGACTTACAGACTTTTCGAGTTACAGACTTCTCTGGCCGCAAAATTTAGGTTTGACTTGCAGCCTGAGAATTGACCTACAGACCAGAAAAAAACCAAAATGGAACAAAAAGGAACAAAAACAGCCAGTTATGGATTAATCGGTTTTCAATGCATTGTAGGTCAATGGAGACTCGACCTACAGACTTTTCGACCTGCAGCCACCGTTCCAATACGGATTAATTCCGTAAATAGAGGGTCCACTGTACGGGACAATTGATGAGAGGCTCACTTTTTTCCCTTCTCCTCTCTTTGCCTTACATCTATTTTTGTTCCGTTTTTGCATTATTCCATGAATTGTCATTACTATGTGTTTGTATTATTGTTCTTTTGGAAAAGGCAATAAAAAGCTTTTTAAAAATAAAGATGAACTTTCTAAGGGCAAATTGCTATTCAACAGAGGAACAAACTACCTCAGGTGATTCTTGGCTTGCCATTTCTGAAGATTCTGTCCTTTTACAATCCTCATAGAGACCAAAATCCAGATGTTGGGTTTTTGTTTTTTTTACATTACAACTCCAATAACCCCACACTATGTTGGTTTGGGATGGTGGGACCTGTAATAAAAAAGTAACATTTCCAAGTTCTGGTACAGGAGTGGAGTAGATGGCCTCCAAGATTTACTCTAGCCCTAAAATTCAGTGACTTGTACTGTATGGTGCCAAGGTTTTTGTTGTTTAGTCATTTAGTCGTGTCCAAATTTTCGTGACCGCATGGACCAGCGCATGCCATGCCCTCCTGTCTCCCACTGCCTCCCAGAGCTGG